ACTGACTCCATGTAAACAAACTGAGAACCAGAAGTTTTTGAGAGAAGCAAAATCAGGATGACGAGTAACTGCATATGGGCACAGTGCAGCAGCTGTTTCAACCTCTCAGCTCTTGGCCCCTCCTTGCCTCTTGAGAAGGGTGTGGGACAACTACATCAATAAAACCAGGTTTGCAGATAACTTCTCCAGCCAATGTCACCCTCTCCAAAGAAACCCTGAGCAGGATAGGCAGAAGGACAACAATTTACAATGGTGACAACAAGCAATGGTCTATATATCCATGGCACTGCCTTCATCGATATTGTGAATTTCATCCTAATGTTTTCAGCAGTGCACATGTAGTTTCTATCACACAGCTGACTCTTAGAGTAGTATCTAATCTCTGTCTAAGGGTGGTATGAAATTGAAAATAATCTCAGAGGATACTTTAAAAAAAAAAAAACTCTGAACACACAAAATCAAAGGAAAGGTCAATAAATTCTCAAACTGAGAATCATCAATATAGTATGCTAAATATTAGTGGTCTTCAAGATCAATGTTTTCCCTGGTATTTCCTATAATAATATGAGCTATACAAAACTAAATATGTGAAATGGACATAAACCCATAATGCATTGATGTACATCAATTAAAAAAAAAAAAAAGGAAAGACAGAGTAATTGTTTTAAATGGCTTCTGTTTCTAACCTTGCTTACTCACTGCCCTCTGAGTGCCTGTTATAATAAGGGAGAAGGTCATTCAGCAGCAAAAGCAATTACAAAATGCAAATGACTGAGCATTTATTGTCAAGATTGGCTAGATAAAAAAGGTCTGATAATAACATGTTTCCAAGTAGATTACATAATTAGATGTTTTTATCATAAACAATGGGAAATAATCCAAGCCTTTAACACTTTCAGAAAGGCTGCAATTAAACAATAGGTAAGCATTGCGATGTAAATTTTATTTAAAAGTGACAATTAAATTTCCCTCTCAGAAATTAGAAAGCACCATCTTGTGGTTGCTCTGCAGGAATGCAGTCAGGTCAGCCTCTGACCTACCATCTCCTTCTGCCCTTTCCCATGGCACTAACTGGAATATCAACACTCTGCCATAGACAAGAATATGTGCCCTTGTCATTCCCAGCACTTTCTCTGAAGGCAACAGTGAGACTATGGATCAGGCAAGACTAGAAGGGTTATCCAGTCTAAAACACACCAGGTTACAGCATTATTAAAACATGTGTGTGAGGTAGAAAATTCAGGATTCTTAGAAATCACAGCAAAACCACATTTAATTTCTAGTAAGACCAAATTGTACCATAACCTAAAGACTCTGCAATTCATTAAAGCTGCATCAATTTTTGAGCCAGTTAGGATCAGAAAGTCTTATTCCTGCTATCCTTACATTATAAAAACATGTTTTGAGCATTTTGCAGAAAGTGTTTTAAATTATTGTATTCAATTCATTTCAGGCAAGAGTCATCCAGATAAATTTGTGCCATCTCCAAAGACATAGTTAGTCTCATATACAGGTCACAGCTCAGCATTCAGAATTTCTTGTTCTGTGGAAACTGCAGTTGTAAGTAAAACAGTTCTGTCTCTAACACACGTACATTCCTAGCTACTGATCTCTGCTTTGGGCCCAGTTCTTCCAAGAGCTCAGTCATTGTGTCTTGTGAGATAAATTATCCACACTGATCTTTCTCAACTCAATTGTGCAGCTGAGCAGTGAATTATTTAACATGGAATGTTCAATAGTTTTTGTCTTCCCTGTAAATGTATTTGAAATATAAACAAGTATTAATGTACTTATTGTTTTTATTGCTTTTATAATAAATTATAAATAAATAACTGTTTCAGAGAGATTAATTTAATTGATGTTTATGTTATGGTTTGATTGTATAACTCCAGATATACTTTGTTGACATTACTGTTTCAGTACATGTTGAGACTGAATCTAGTACTTTTTACTACAGGAAGCATATGAACTCATATTTTAACTAATAGTTAAGGTATGAGTCTCAATTCACATTATTTGAAGTACATAACAGTTCAAAATTAATAAAATTTACATCTGCTATTTTTACACAAGCATACCTAGTTCCACCCTGCTGAAGGCTCAATGAGTTTTGAATGGCTAGAAATGGTAGCAGAACTTAATCCATATATAGCTGTTTTCATATTCATAATGACTGGATTTTCTGGAAAATAATTAGTAATTTAAGATACGTATTTTTCAAGCAAGCTAGCTTTAGTAAGTGCCAGTGACTGGCAGTCTAACTTTGATAACATCCAGGCTTATCTTTGCTTTTGATAGGTGTCAATAAGAGTGGAATTTCCCTCTGTCTGGAAAGTGTTGTGGTGGCATAAAATCATCTGTTTCACAGACAGTCTCAGGAGTGTCATACATTTCCTTCTGACTTTTAAACACATCAGGGGCATGGATGTTTTGAGCCATCTTTTCTTACAAGATGCAACATTTTTTATTTTAGTGAATAACTCCATTTTATCTGTTGTTTGTCTGAGCTTGATTCCTTTCAAAATTTCATTTAGACACCAGACAATATCTCTGTTTCTGCGTAAGCTCCAAGAGCAGGGTGACATAAAAAATTATAAAACTCCATATCTATATTATACAATTCCAATCTGCATTGCCTCCCCACTGGAAGTAAAAATGAATATTTGGTACACATTAAAAACCACTCATGCCCACTTATATCTCAGGATACTCCATATACTCAGCAGCTGAAGTTTTCTGATTCATTTTGCTTCCTTGTCTCTTAATATGACCTTTTATCTTCCCTCTTTCCAAATACTGACAAACACTATGCCAGAAGGATACTCTGATTCCTAAGGGATGAAACCACCAAAAACAGGTGCCTCTTCTGTCCCCACAGGATATCCAGAGCAGCACCATTTGCATTGTTTACTCATTTCAGCAGGACTTGTAGAGACTGGTTTCCTCATCTCACCCTAGGCTACAGATGCTCCCTCTCCTAGGCAAAGGGGATCTGCTATACGTGGAGAGGTTGAAAGAAAATGTTTTCTGAAAGTCTTCAGGTGCTGCAAGAAGGGTGGTTGAGGGGATGCTGGGGTAGGCCATGTGTAGGGATGCAAGCATCAGCTTCCTCTTATGTTCATTCCATAAGTAAAACTGCAGTGAAATTTCAGTGGTCTGCTGATATCAGGGTATGTGGGAGCAGCAGGGAGGAGATGGAAGGTAAATGATTGGAGGCAAGGAGGAGAGAAAGGAGAGAAGCCTGACTTAACTCAGCTGCTTCAAATTTATTCCTAACTTTTAAAAGTATCTAAATGCTTGATGATGAAACCTTTCTGGTACAAATGCTTTTGAAAGTCACATTCCTCCAGTTACTGCTATCTCTATCCAACACTAATGAACAAACAAGTGAGAAAAACCAAACATAAAGGAAAAATTAAAAAAAAAAAAAAAAAACAAACCCAAACCAAACAAAAATAAACAAACTCTTCCCCCTCCCCCTCCCCAAACTAAAGGACTTAAAGGAAACAAATCCTTAATTAGAAAGTTGCTGTTTGCTTCCCCTCACAACTTCCAACATGCTGCTATTGTCACATAAGTATTTACAACCTGTAAAATACTGAACTCATGTAACAAAATTATTATCAAAGCAGTCCTATTTTTCTAATGGAGTGCGTGCTAAAAGTCTAGAAAAGCTAAACCAAATTTTACTGCTGTTCATATGAAACTCATATCCATTTTAGGAGTGGATAAAAATTATTGATATTTACATGGGTTTCTTAAGTAACCAGTATTATTTTTCCTTACAAATTAATTTCAGAAACATAACATTCCAATAGTATGTTAACAGAAGGAATTAGCCTGCAGTATTGTAAAGAAGAGGACCTAAAGGGTCCTTCAACAATTAAATGAATGTACCCATGTTCAAACAGTGTTTAGGACCTTGAAACCTCACACTGCCTTAGTGTGTGTTAGAAAAAAATTCTTAACAATATATTTATAACAGGAAACTTGAGTACCAAAATGTTGCCTCAAAAGAAGCAAAACAAATAGTAAATTTTCTGAGTAATGATTCAAGTTACAAAAGCTCACTAGCATCATCTGGAAAAATACCAATATAAATATGTCTTTTGGATTTACTACTGATTGTATTAAATTACGTTTCTAAACATGAATTTTAAAATTGTCATAGGTCACAATCTCCTCAAAAGTAAAAATCAAAAAGACCTAGCAAAATCCAATAATTTCCTTAATATTTAAAATTCAGATTTTGCCACAGCAAAAAAATAAACTATTTTATTTTAGGTTTAGACATGGGCACATACATATATAAAGATTTATTTAATTATTATGCAAAAAATGATAATTTCAGCTACAAGTTTTTTCAATATATTATTAGTCTTAGCACATTTACAGTATTCTGGTTGTATAAACTGCAAGTACACAACAAGTTAACAATAGGATTTTCAATATTGGGTCAGTTTGAAATTACAGGACATTATATCAGTAGTAAACCCACCAAAAAAGGAATCATGCTGATGTAATCTTTTCCAGATGTTACCAGGACAACTTTGCAAGTATAAATTCCTATAAAGAACATTTCTATAGAGACATTTTTAGACTTTGACTTTGAGCTACAGAGAGTTTGTCTTTTGCAAATCAGAATTATCTGTAGGAGATTAATTTGTTTCCCATTACAGTTTCAGATTTCTTCTTCATCCATAAAATTAACTGCAGTGAACTTCCAGGAGTAAAAAGCTGTCTTTTTTCAGGCTTGAATAAGAGGAGAAATAGTCACTTGTCCTGAAATCTGGCTACAATTAAACACATTGAAGAAAAATTAAAAGCTGTAAATGTAAAACTTTGGATATTTTGTTGTCATCCTTTGTTATACAAATACTTTACTATAAGAATAAACAATAAGTATGCATCACCTACATTTCACTAAATGTCACAAAATGTTTAAAGTATTATATAAATAGACCACAAATATAAAATAAACAGGTAATGACAATATTTACCTTTTCCAACTGGGCATTTTTTTTTGATTTATACAAAAACTCCCCAACTGCCACAAAGACAGAAAGCACCAATCCTGCTGCCAGCACGATGAAGATTCCTCCAATATTCTGAACTCCCAAAGCACTGGCCTCTTTACTTTCCTCTTCTGGGCAACCATTGCCTCTCCACCACTTCTCTTTCATCATGTGGAGCTTGCCTTCTTCCTGCAGCTGAAGAATTGCTATAGTGATCTTATCTCTATATGGAGAACCTGAAGAGAACACAGAGGAGAAATATCGCATGGTATATATTACATGAAATGTTATTTATTCCAAACAAGAATAAATAATAGCTCATGAAAAACTATATCTTTCACAGCCATAATAGTCAAAAAGTCATTTGCTTCTTGACACAATCACACTGGTCACATAAATACAAACCTGTTTGCTCACACAATTATATATCCTGAAAACTTGATCCAGCTGGTGTTGCCAGTAAGCCAGGCCACTAGATGCAACAATTCCTATCACATTTAGTCCCATGGTCTCAAACTTCTTCGTGCCCAAATATTATACTCAGTCAAAGAGCATTCTTCTTTCAATTTTTTCAATTTTTCGCAATAAGTTTTTAAATGAGCTTCATTAGATTTAGTCTAATATACGTAAATCTACAGGCCGTTGCTTCATAGCTTGCTAATATAAAGCTAATAAAAGTTCTAATATTTAATTAACACTTCATCCTGCCACTTTATTAAACAGGGGAGAAACAATTTATGCTTCAGGACAAACCCACAAAAGTCCTTATTTGATAGATTTTCAGGCACTTAAAACACCTTTCACCAAGCACTTATTAAGTTTCAGTACCAGGTATCAAGAAATTCAGAAGGATAAGATTCAGTGTGTCTGGATAACAAGGATGTAAATTCTCATATTTTGATATATTTCTTTCTCATAATTCATTATTTTAAAATGACATGATAATTTTGTAGCTTTTGAACATTTCAGTATTTCAAAGGCTGGTGTCATATCTTTGCATGTAATCTTTTTTTCTTTACATTGTGCATAAGGGCTTCTCGATGGGTATTTTAAAATGTACATTGATAATTGAATAATGACAATGAAGAAAGTTCTTATTTTCTGAATGTTAGAGAGTAAATCATGTCAGTTAGAAGTGCTTTCTCTATTAAGACTTGTGCAATGTTTAAGTAGAGAACAAAGCCATCATTTTTCTTGTCCTTTGAAAACAGGAACAAAAGACTCTTCATTAAAGTGGTTAAGAAATCTCAGGAAAGGAAGAAAAAGAGTAGATGAAAAGGCATGGCATCCCCTCTTTTGGTTGATATGAATGCAATTCTATAATGCATCCCTCCTCTTTTTCTCTCTATCATAATAATGCTACTTACTGGCTATAGATTTTAGGGTTTCTTTCAGCTGAGTAATAAAATACATTTTCATTAACTTTTTACCTTTGGAAAAAATCCTCTGTATCTGCTAGAGAGATGCTGCCTGTTTAACTATTTAATGCACTATGATCAGCTGTGAGGAGCTGAAGAAATGCATGGATAAGATGTTTTATAGTATTAAAACTGTTGGAAAACATGAATATTTTTTTTAAAATTTCTTTTAACTTATTCTATATTTCTTCAAATTCTTTTTACATATCTAGAACTTATCCTGAGAAGAAAGCTTATAACAAAGAGCTGCTGTTCCAGTACAGAACATAGAAAGAACTGCTAATTACAAAATACAAAAGCACCTTTTCCTTCACTCAAGAATAAAAGATGTGAAGAGCCATCCTCAAAGTATTTAAATTGCAAGGACTTGTGCATTTATCATCTATTCTTAGAAAAGGATGATGTTTTGTGCTAGGAGGTAAACTGTGTTTGCACTGGACCATACAGGAAGCATAAAAAAGGAAAAGAAACTCTTTCTACTCTCTTGTGCATTCAGGGGCCTAAGTCACACCATTTCAGACCATCCTGATTATGCTGGAATTCTGCAAAACCCTATACTTGACATGTTGCTTCAGTCAGAGGGAAGAAGGAAGTGATTAGTCCACAAGAGCCTGGGGAAATATAAGTGCATTCTGTAATCTTTTGGGGATATTTTCAACATTACACTGCATATAAATATTTAACAACAACAACTTAAATAACATTAGATTCAGAGAAATAGTCTTGGACTTAGTTTAAGCTGTCTTCTGATCTGACAGGCTGCTTTCTAATTAAACTGATTTGCATTTTGTTTCTACACTCTCTGTTGGTCTAAATATAGTGAGTACCATCTATTCTTCATGTATTATTTATATTTTCTGGGGATCAGATTTTTACACTTACAATTCTAATCTATTTGAAGCAGTTAAAAAATTAATTAACTGAGGAATTCGTGGACAGAAACAATAAAGCATGGCCTAATACAGGCTACAATTGCTTAAGTTTATGAAGGTTGCATTAGAAGCACACAGCTAATAGTGTTTAAGTTCAATAGTATTTGTATTACTGTTGGTGGTTTGCAAAATTTACACAAATAATTCTGGAATGGATTACAGGGCCTTTCTATTGCAATGTTTATATTTGTTATACCTTATTATCCTGTTTAAGAAGTGATCCTGTCACAAGTAAGGATCGATATATGACTGCTGTTAAATCAAGCATTTAAAAATTTATACCCATGTAAAAGCTAGCATTGAATGCTGTAGTTCTATTCCAGTTCTGAAGGACTTAGAATGTTCTAAATTCATAGGTTTTCATTTTGCAGCAAATATTGAGTACACCTAATGATCTGATACTTTGAGAAAAGGAATTTTTAATTCTGTTTATACTGACTCAAGTAGACAATTCAGACAATTCTATTTATACTGACTTAAGAGAACAAAGGAAGCATATGAACAGTATTCTTTTCTCTGACTAGATTTTCTCCTAGCCTTTTTTTCTCTTACAAACAGGACTGCAAGTCCCAGCAATGGAAAATCCACCCAGAAGCGCCTGAAGTGGCTAAAAGTATCACAGACACTGTGAATGACAAAGGCAACATAAAAAGTAAGAATCAATAAATAGAGAATGTGATCAAGGCACCCAGATTACACTCTGGATGCAACAGCTGTTTTTCCTGCAGAACTGAAAAATGTTAGCAAGTAAATGCAAAAGATTTCTGACATTTTCAGGTAATTTTCCCTATCACTCTCATCACATGAATGAAAGATGACTCAAGCCCTAAAATGAGGTGTTGTAAGAAGCCCATGTCCTGCTTTTTATACTTTTAAATCTAGAGTGTTTAATATAATTTTGTTTAAATCCTCATTAAAGAGAATTTAGTGTTCAAAACAAAAGCAAAAAAGCCATAAAAGTGAAATAGAAACTCTAATACTCACAGACAATAGATATGAATTTGCAAAATACCTACCTATATATGAATTTGCAAAATTCATACCTAGTATGAATAAGAGTGGAGTAAAAAAGCATAAGGAAAAAAGAAAGAAAAATAAAAGAAAAAGAGAATAAAGCTCTGAAACATGAAGAAATAGAAACTTCACATCTCAACCTTCAATGCAAAGAAAAAGCAGTTGAAAAAAAACCCCCATATTTCAAGTCTGTGCAGGGGGGGAAAACAGGGAGGGAACAGAGACTGATTTTTAACATGCTCTTCCAAAATCAGAGGAAAAAACTGAGTGCATAGTATTCCAGTGAGTGAAGAGAAAGGCAAAAGACCAGTATGGAAATATCTGAATTTTTCTTCCCTCTTTTTTGTTGGTTTCTACCTCTTTTATTTCCCTATCAACTGATTATTTATTACCATGACAAACTGAGACTGGAGGATCTACAGAATATAATCTATAAGTTATTTGTTAATCCTCTTCTAACTTCTGTTTACAGGAATGAGAATTTCTGCCAGAATAATTTTAAACCCTTCTGTTATAGATTATAGAGATGTTTCTTCCTTCCTGCACAAGTTCAACAACCTCAAGAGAGGAAGCAATAATTTCTAGTTGCAGTTACCTGCTTACAAAAGTTTACAATAAAAATGAATATTTGCATAAAACACCTTTTTCTAAAGCATCTCTACAAAACTAACAGTCTCCCAGAGTTACTGCAGAAGCTATACATAGATATGTTTTCTGCCCTTAAGTCTCAGTATGTAAAGATTTATGCACATAATGATATGTTTAAACATAAATTATGAACACATAAGCTTTTTATATTGAGGCTTCACTGCATACAGATTAGTATTTTGGAATTCTGCTGATCTAACTGGTCTTGAAAATGCTTCCTACTAGATTTTAACTTAGTAAAATCTCCTGCCTGGTTACTTTCAGTCTGTTTTACTCATTCTATCATATGAAAGCAGCTGGAGCATATTGGGACATACAGAACAGATTTTGACTTTAAGTAAATCAAAAGGAAGAGCAGCATTCTGTTAACTCCTTTGATAAGAAAATTTTGAGCCAGGAAATTTTTGCTCCATCATGCCAGGGCCATTTTACCAAAAGGAATGACTATGAATTGCCTAATGTTTTTAAATATGTCCACAAAACATACTTATATGTTACTTTTGATTTTCTAGATAAGAAAAATACATTATGACTACACAGAGACCATCTTTTATTTCTGGGATTTTTTTTTTCTTTTGTTATTCAAAATCCCAAGACAGTTCTATTTATCTGGCAACATTATTTCATATTCTGTGTACTTGGTCTAAGCAAAAGACAAAGATTGTTAGGAATACACCAATATATTCAGAACCTAGGTACAAAATTTAGATAATTTAGAACTTCTTTCAGTAGTAAAATATTTGTGGGAAGGATAAAGCCACATATAACAGGAAAGATATCTAGGTTTGAGGTGGTATGTGACTAGTATGCAATGAACAAAACAACCAGTTCAAGTTCTAGTTTTACCAGTTGAAAGGAAAAAGCACCAAACTCAGAATGGAAGCATTCTGTCTTATTTGTTTTGAGTTCGTTTTTCAGCATGAACCCATTCCTGTTGTGATTATGCCACCTTGATCTATCTATCCTAAAGGTGGTTTGTGTGTAAATGCAATATACTGCCATCACAGTCTCACTCCAGTGTAAGCATGCCTGAAATTTCCATAAGAATGCTGATTAACACCATTTATACTACTGGGAATGGGTGAATCATTTAAGCTTACCATAACAACATCTCTCTTATCCAATCACTTAGCTCTGTCAAGAACCACAATCTAAATGGTCTGCCACCAAACTGCTTGCATGCTTAGTGATATCATGCTTGAAAGTTTTGAGGTTTTTATTGTT